AAAAAATCTGAAAATCTAGGCAGATTTTTTGGACGACTTTTATGGCCGTTTTCTAGTCGAATTCCTTGGAGTTACGTGGAGATTTTTGGTCGTAATTGAAGAAGACATTGTGGGCTTTTCAATGATATCAAAATTCGACGGTATCGGTGGTTGGAAGTGGTCGAAAAGTTACCCCAAAAATAGTCCAAAAAACTGAAACAGTGTTTTTAAATTTCATTAACTGTTTCTGAAAGTTTTTAAACTTCAATGACCGTTTATAATTTTTGCGTAAATTCAGTGATCGTTTGTGAAATTAAACCATTCTCCAAATAAATCATTTTTCACTTCTAATAATATCTCCCATACAAATACTAAGAATAGAGAGTGCTTGCATGTTTGGCTAAACTTAAAGGTTAATTTTCAAAGATACACTTTTGAAAGAAGAAAAAAAAGTAACATTTAATAAAGAAATGTAACTTTCCCAATAGTCACCAATTCGAGTCCTGTCAAAGTCATTGAAGTGAGTACGCGACTATAAACTTCAGGGCCCGTGGGATTAGTCGAGGCGCCCGTAAGATAGCCGGACGCCCACTATCATAAAAAAAAAAAAAAAAAAATGTAACTTTAAGCTTAGTCATTACATAACTCTTATTATTGATAACTTTAAGGTTAGTCATTACATGCTCTTATTATTGATTACTGATTAGCTCACTTTCCGATTTAAAACAGTTATAATATTGTGTTCTCTTATAAGACTAGACTTTAAGTTGTAATCTAAAATTTTATTATAGATTATTAATTCAAATTCTCATATATATTTTTTTTAATTAAATGCCAATAAATCCATGCTACACAAGGCCATTGTTCCCTCCAGCCAGTCTAGAAAAAATAGGTTAGGTATAGATAAGTTGAAAAAGGAAAAATAGATACTTTCTAGCTTATTTCTCCTAGAGTTCTAAACTTATCAATGTGTGCAGAATTGTCCCCAACCTAACAATCAGAGCAAAATCATCTTCGACCTATCAAAACAAGTGTTATTGTAGTCTGGACAACCAAAAGTAGCCCAAAAAACTGAAAAATTGTTTTTAAATTTCAGTAACCGTTTCTGAAAGTTTTTAAACTCCAGTGATCATTTTTAAAACGCCCCAAAATTTAAGTGACCGTCACTAAAAGTTTTAAACTTCAATGATCATTTTGTAATTTTCGCGTAAGTTCAGTGACTGTTTGTGAAATTAACCCATTTTTAAAAAAAAATCATTTTTCACTGCTAATAATATCTCCCAACAAATACTTAGAATTGAGAGTGCTTGCATGTTTGGCTAAACTTAAAGGTTAATTTTCAATGATATACTTTTGAAAGAAAAAAAAGTAACATTTAATAAAGAAATGTAACTTTCCCAATAGTCATCAGTTCGAGTCCCGTTAGAGTCACTGAAGTGAATACCTGACTATAAACTTCAGGGCCCGTGGAATTAGTTGAGATGCGCGTAAGATAGCCGGACACCCATGGTCATCATAAAAAAAGAAAGAAATGTAACTTTAAGCTTAATCATTACATACTCTTATTAGGGTTGTGCTATGGGTACATTATGGACACCATAATGGTGTCCATAATGCACACATGGTGCCCCCCTATTGGAGGGGCGCCTGGCCCACCCGACACCCCTCCAATAGGGGGCACCATGTGTGCATTATGGACACCATTATGGTGTCCATAATGTACACCAATCATTATTCCTCTTATTATTGATAACTTTATGGTTAGTCATTACATGCTCTTATTATTGATTACCACTTGTTGATTTAAAACAGTTATAATATTGTGTTTTCTTACAAGACTAGACTTTAAGTTGTAATCTAAAATTTTATTAGAGATTATTAATTCAAATTCTCATAATTTTTTTTAATTAAATGCCAATAAATCCATGATACGCAAGGCCATTGTTCCCACCAGCCAAGCTAGAAAAAATAGGTTAGATATAGATAAGTTGAAAAAGAAAAAATAGATACTTTCTAGCTTATTTCTCCTAGAGTTCTAAACTTATCAATGTGTGCAGAATTGTCCCCAACCTAACAATCAGAGCAAAATCATCTTCGACCTATCAAAACAGGTGTTATTTGTAGTCTGGACAACGAAATAGTTAAACTTTTCGTTTAAATTAACAAATACTTGTAAGGGTAAAAAGTTAAAAATCTTATTCATTTTACCGATATCAATATTGCCCTTTGAATATAACATAAATGATAAAATTAATTAATCCAACTGCGCCCCGGATTGCCCCGCCCTAACAACTCGGAGCATTCTGCTAAATATTGTAACAAGAACATGATACCTATTACCTCCTCCATACTATTATTTGTTTATGTGATTTTGTTTTGACAATTTAAATCATATTTAAAAAATTAAAAATATGTCAAAAAATTAAACAAATAAGTAAATGGAGAGTTTTGTAATTCTTTCCCTTCACAATTCCCACGACTTCTGAAAATACCCAATGGGAGCGGGAAGGCCACCCATATCCAACGTTCCAACTTAGCCTTTGTTTGGCGTTCATTATTTCAACCAAAAAAAAAAAAAGTAAAAAAAAAGTTTTGAATTTACATGCAGACTATTTTATTGTGTAAATGTGATTGAAAATTATCTTTTAGCAAAAAAGTTTTAAAACAATAAGCATCAAACAAGGACTTAAGAGTGAATTGCCCAAATGGTTATTGAACTTTGTAAAAAGTTTTCAAGGAGTCACTAAACTTTAAAAATCATCAAAATAGTCACTGAATTTTGCAAAAAGGTTTCTACATGGTCACTGAACTTTAAAAATCACTTAAATGATCACTCAACTTTGTAAAAAATTTCTACGAGGTCATTGAACTTTGTAAAATGTTTCTCAATGGTCACTAAATTTAATGACCCTTGGAAAATCTTTTGTAAAGTTCAGTGACCATTTAGGTGGTTTTTAAAGTTCATTGACCCCGTAAAACCTTTTGTAAAGTTCAGTGACTATTTGAATAATTCACTCGGGACTTAATATGTTTTGAAAGCAATCAAAACCCATTTATAACACACATCCGATTATGTCGCCATAATTAGCAAGAGACGTACTGAAAGCAATGAAATTTTGATATCTATAACTTTACTGCAAAAATATTCTTGAAAATCCTAAGAATACATCAAGAAAATTTAAACTCTATTCATTTTCCTCTTCCTTTTTGTTCAGACAAAAAAAAAAATAATAAATAATAAAAAAATAAAAAACCCTGAAATTTGAATTAGACCTGAAATTCTGAATCTTGCTGTAGCTATGGACGGTTGGGGAGTTAAACTCAAATGGGATTCAACCTTTGACTTTTTTCATTTCTTGTAATGCGTGTACTTTAAATAAGTTGCATGAATATCAAAACAAAAAGGACAAATTTGTAATAAAAACCTCCCAATGAGGACAAATTTGTAATTACACCTCCGTTCGCCTGAAAAAGTCAAGCCAACTGACCAGCATTAACTGCCTCCTCCTAGCCTTATCTCCCCCTGCCAATTTTGGTAGCCACCACTATACACTAGTAGTCATTGTCCTAAGGAAAAAAATAAAAATTAAAAGAAAGTCGACAATTTTTCTTAACTAAAAAAAGACTAATTTAACAAATGATTTAATATATATAATAGCATCATCATCGTTGACAATTTTTATGATACAACTATGAATATGATCCCACCATACAATTTTTCTTTTTTTCTTTTTTTTTTTAATTTATAAAGCCATATTTTGTCGAGGCATGTGCAGTATTGTTTGCTTTCCTTTGAATAAGAGAACATGTAAAGCCACTGTTTTTTTATAAAAAAAGGTTGAACCCCAACATTGAGGCTTCTACCGTCTCGTCCTTGAAGTATCGTGAGAAAGGAAAATCTCGAGATGTGCCTCAACAGGCCAGGGAACAAGAACTTGTCGGTACACTGGTGTCCACAAAAGTCCAATTCCATATCTTAGGAATCGAACTCTTACACTGCGACTGCCAATAAGGTTGATAATACCTTATTCCTATTCTTTGCACCACTGAATTATGCCCCAAGGGGCACTGTTTTTCATATATTATGCTCATATTTGATTAGGAGAAAATTGAAGTTTTTAATAGATTTTGATAAAAGTTAGAGTGCGTTTGATTGTAAGTATGAAATTTGCACGAAAATAAAATAAATTATAGGTAATTCAATTACTTAAAACTTATTTGCATGGAAATTTTCAATTAAATATGTTTGATTGATTTAATTTTCAACATAGAAAATATTATATTTATTCATTTTTTATTGGTTGGTAGATGAGAGAGAGTGAATAGATGAGATAGATAAAGAGAAAGAGTCAATTCTCTGAAAAATAAAATCTTACTCCCCCTAAAAAAAATATTTTCCTCGATTTTAAGAAAAATATGATCACATGATAAAAGTAGGAAAATGGTTTTCATGAAAAAAATGTCGACCAAACAGCATAAAAGTAGAAATTTGGGTAAAAGAAACACAATTTTTAAGAAAAATATTGACAATCAAACGCACTTTTAGTAAGATATATGGTTTACAATTGATAAAATTGTAGATCCAATGAAGTGTGTTATTGAAAATAAGTTTAAGAAAAAAAATGTGAATTTTAAGATACAGGTAATAGGGTGTTTGTGTAATTGCATATAAAGACTACAACCCTGCTTCTTATCCCGACTTGGGGACAGGGCCGGGTTAGGGGAGCCATGTGGTGCCCCTATAGGAGGGGCGCCTGTCAGAAGTCGGAACAGGGGGCTTTATTCTGAAGACTAATTTTCAATTAAAAATTAAATATACAAAAACCCAAAATGCCCCCCATGAATTTACTTTCTTCAAATGGTGAGTAAAGTTGTATTGCAAAGAATTTAAAACCCTCTCTCTTTCCTCAGCATAAATTTATCAGTTACAAAACACACACAAAGAACACGTAGTGGCAGTAGTAATTTGTGTGTACGAATAGGTGTACCTATTTATTATGGGTTGCCCCTCTCACTTATTTCTGCCAATTTTCTCTTAATTACACTCACCTTCCTCCTATATTTCTTTTCATTTCCATTGCTTTTCTCCACTGAATCCTCCACCCCACCTGTCTCTCTCTCTGCTAAAATGAAAACATGGCTAGTTCCTTAAACAATGCAAAACGTCATTCACATGGTCAAATTTCCTAAATTTCATATCATTCTCCATATCAAATCCCAGATATTATTCTTCATAATCATTTCTTCCAGCCATCAACTTTTTTCCTTTTCTTTTTGTTGTATTTTGTTTGGATTTTTTTTCCAATCATGATTAGTAATTTATTGCAGTATATTATAAGCATAGTTGATAATTTGCAAGAGCTTCTTGAATGCTACAAGTGTTTTGAATATAACCATTGCTGGTTTTTTTCCTGCTAAGACAGCCTAGTAATTATAGAAAACAATGGAATTTAGCAGTGGATACGGTGGCGGTGGCTCCGGCGATGACCACCACGATGCCTCCGACCCTCGCGGGGGTAAAAAACGATATCATCGACACACGGCCCACCAAATTCAGAGGCTTGAAGCGTAAGACTTTTTACATTCTTTGCACATCACATGCAAACTCATTTTATTTAAAATCTTTTGCAGATACTGAGATTTGTGTGTTTGATTTTGTGTTTCTGAAATGAAGAATGTTCAAAGAGTGTCCCCACCCAGATGAGAAGATAAGATTGCAGTTAAGCAGAGAGTTAAATTTGAATCCAAGGCAGATTAAATTTTGGTTTCAAAACAGAAGGACTCAAATGAAGGTTTCGTTTCTTGTTTCTTATTAAATAATTTGTGTTTTTCTTGTTAAATCTTGCTTATAATTTTATGAATAATCTTGGTTTTAGGCACAATTTGAAAGAGCAGATAATTGTGCACTCAGAGCAGAGAACGATAAAATTAGATGTGAAAATATAGCAATCAGAGAGGCACTCAAAAATGTGATCTGCCCTTCTTGTGGAGGCCCTCCAGTTACAGAAGATTCATATTTCGACGAGCAAAAATTACGAATCGAAAATGTGCAGTTAAAAGAAGAGGTATGTTAATTTTTTTTATTAGACTGTCCAGTTACATTCATTACTGCGTACCAAATATCTACGGTGTTTTCATTGATTTTTATAAAATGATTTGCAGCTGGACAGAGTTTCAAGCATTGCAGCCAAGTACATAGGGAGACCTATTTCACAACTGCAACCAGTGCAGCCTATTCATGTATCCTCATTGGATTTATCCATGGCAAGTTTTTCAGGCCATGGGATGTTGCCTGAACCCTCCCTCAATCTTCATCTTCTTCCTGGAAGTTCGACTAACATTTCCAATTTACCTTTCCCAACAATGAGCATTTCTGATATGGATAAATCCCTTATGGCTGATGTTGCTGGAAATGCCATGGATGAATTGATTAGGCTCTTGCAAACCAATGAACCTCTTTGGATGAAGTCGACAAACGATGGCAGGGAAATACTTAATCTCGAAAACTATGAAAGGATTTGCCCTGGACATAATAATCAGTTGAAAAGTCCCAACGTTCGGATTGAGGCCTCGAGAGATTCAGGCGTCGTGATAATGAATGGTTTGACATTGGTGGACATGTTTATGGATGTGGTTAGTTTCTTTCTTTCTTTATATTTACTCATAAAATAGTTCAAATTTCATATTTTTCATCACTGGTTTTTTGCTTAAATTACCAGAGTAAGTGGATGGAATTATTTCCTACAATTGTTTCAAGGGCAAGAACAGTTGAAGTACTATCTTCTGGAATGATTGGAATCCCAAGTGGTGCATTGCAATTGGTAATAAGTTCTAAGCAAAAATATGGATCCATTTTTAATCAAATTTATATTAATGAGCAGGGTTCTGTTAACTTAATGAGTTTCTAAAGAAATAAAAAACTATCTTCTGGCAGATGTACGAAGAATTGCAGGTTCTTTCGCCACTGGTTCCGACCAGGCAATTCTATTTCCTACGTTACTGTCAGCAAATCAAGCAAGGCTCATGGGCAATTGTCGATATTTCTTATGATCTTCCTCATCAAGAGAACCAATTTGCTTCTTCATGTAAAACTCATAGGCTTCTTTCTGGATGCTTAATACAGGACATGCCTAATGGTTATTCCAAGGTTGTGAAATTGAATCTAATCATATCATTATTCTAGTAATCTATAATTTAGACTATGAAACTTAATTTAGACTATGAAACTTAGTGACTTTTGATTTACTAATTGTAACAGGTCACTTGGGTGGAACACTGGGAAATAGAAGATAAGGTTCCAATCCATGGACTTTATATGGATCTTATTCACAGTGGACTGGCATTTGGAGCCGAAAAATGGCTTTCAAGTCTGCAGAGGATATGCGAGAGATACGCTTGTCTGATGGGTACCAGCAACTCGACTCATGAACAAGTCGGAGGTAACTAACTTCTCTAAGAATTCTTGTGTGCTGGGTTATGAACAGATGAATTAAATTTTCGCATATTTGATTTCAGTAGCTACGCTCAAAGTAATTCCTTCATCTGAAGGGAAGAGAAGCATGATGAAACTGGCACAGAGGATGGTTAACAACTTCTGTGCAAGCCTAAACCCCTCTAATGGCCAACAATGGAGAACGCTTTCAGGGTCAAATGACTTTGAAGTTCAAGCAACGCTTCATAAGAGCACCGATCCTGGCCAGCCAAATGCTATAGTACTCAGTGCTGCCTCTACAATTTGGCTTCCCATTCCTCCAGAAAATGTGTTCAGTTTCTTCCGGGATGAGAGGACTCGACCTCAGGTAAAGACAGTGAGAACCTATTTGCATTTCCCTTTTTTTCCTTTGTGTTTTACCTTATTAATAATCTGGATTAACTCCTTTCCATTCTTAATCCAGTGGGACGTTCTTTCCAATCAAAATCCAGTTCAAGAGGTGGCTCACATTGCCAATGGCTCTCATCCAGGGAACTGTATATCAGTTCTAAGGGTAAATCTCTTTCCCTGATCGCTATTTTTCTCTAAAGCTCGATACTTTTAATCAACATATTATAGACACGTTTGGTATGCAGTATCAGATTGGATTAAACCGTACCATATTGTCCAGTGCACAACTCCACATTATAATAGACAAAATTAGCGGTTGATTAATCGAACATTCTTGAATCAGGCATTAAACA